CACTCGCTGTGGCCAGAATCACCTTGATACTGAAACCTAAGGAAAACATGATAAGAAAGGAAAAATGGAGGACAGTTTCACACATGAATAACATTAGGAAACAAAATAGTAGCAAATGAAATCCAGCAATACATAAACAGGATGATGTAGCATAGCTAATCTGGCTTATTCTTCAAATGCGTAGGGAATTAATAGGGGTCTCAGAGGGAACCAGCTAAATCAGATTTAAATAAGAACCAGAGTTTCATAACACAGTACCTAAAATGTCAGAGTTCCTACTGAAAAGCACTCGCCAAGAACCAGGAAGATATTAAACTGAAGGAAAAAAGCAAAGCAGTAGACAACAACATGGAGATGATGGAGATCTTAGAATTACTTGACAAAAATTTTAAAGGTGCCATCATCATAAAAATGCTCCATAAGCAATTAAAAAACCACTTGAAACAAATGAAAAAATATAAATTCTCAGCAAAGAAACAGAACATATGAAGAGGAACCAAACTGATTTTTTTATTATATTAAAATATGCATATTACCATCTTAACCATTTTTAAGTGCATATTTCTTAACAAATTGAAATTTTGGAACAGAAAAATACAGTCACCTAAGTACAAAATTTAGCAGGTGGCTCAACGACAGAATGAAGGGTTAGGGGCATCAGTGAACTAGAAGATAGAAAAATAGAAATTACCCAATCTCAACAGTAGAGAGAAAGTAGACCAGGAGAAGAATGAACAGAGCCTCAAGGACCTGTGGGGTTGTAGCAAAAGGTCTGACATTCGTATCACTGTAGTCCAGAAGGAGAGGCAACAGAGCAAAGCTGAAAAAAAGTATTCAGATCATGGCTGAAAGCTTCCAAATTTAACAGATCATGTAAACCAACAGATTCAAGATGAGCCAAACCCAAACAGGATAAAACCAAAGAAATCCACACTAAGAAACAGTCAGAGTTCTAAAGACTAAAGAGAAAAAAAAAATCTTGAAAGTATTAGGAGAAAAACACCACCTTATCTACAATTTTCAAATGACAGTGGACTCTCATCAGAAACCATGGAGAAGAAAACAAAGGAGCACAACGTTCTTGTTTTTTTTTTAAGTGCTGAAAGAAAAGCACTGTCAACCCAGAATCCTGCGTTTAGTGAAGATATCCTTTGGAAATAAAGGGGAAATCAAGACATTCGAAGATGAAGAAAAAGGAAGAGAATTTGTCTCTAGTACACTGACCCTAAACAATGGCTAAAGGAAATTCTCTAAATAGAAAGAAAACAACAAAAGAAGGAATCTTGAAACATCAGAAAAGAAAAAGAACACAGTCAGCAAAAATATGGGTAAAAACAATAGATTTCTCTTCCCCTCTTAAGTTTTCTAAATTATATTAGATGGTTGACACAAAAAATTGTAAGACCGTCGGATGTGGTTCTAAGTGGATGTAGAGGAAATAAACATGCAACTACCATGAGATCTGGCAGTTATGCTCCTGGGCATTTATCCTAAAGAAATGAAATGTGTCCACACAAAATACATCTATTCATACAAAAACCTGTACACAAAGGTTTATAGCAACTGTATTCATAGTAGCCCCAAACTGGAAACAAGCCACATGTCCTTCAACAGGTGAATGGTTTAACTGCGGTACACACGCACCACGGAATACCAGGTAGGAATAAAAGGAATCAACCCCTGATAGAAGCAACAGCCTGGATGAATCGCCAGAGAATTATGCTGAGTGAAAAAAAGCCCGTCTCAAAAGGTGACACACTGTGTGAGTCCACTTACCTAACATACTTGAAATGAGAAAAATTACAGAAAAGGAGAAAAGATTAGTGATGGCTAAGGTATAAAGGGGTGTGGGGTGGGAGGGAAAGGGGTGTGGTATAAAAGCACAATGTGAGGCATCCTTGTGGTGGAGGAAATGTTCTGTATCTTGGCTGCATCAATTTCCCAGTTATGATGTTGTACTATAGTTTGACAATATGTTATTTTGGGGGAAAACTGAGTTAAGAGTGCAAAGGATCTCTCTGTATTATTTCTTACAACTACATGTGAATCTATAATTCAAAAGTTTAGTTTAAAAAAAAAAGACACCAGTAGGAGAATGAAATGCCGAGCCACAGAATAGGAAAAATTACTTGTAATACATATAACCTAATACAAGATTAGTACTCAGAATATATACATAATTCCTATAAATAAGAAAAAGAAATATTTAATACCTTGTGATAACCTATAATGAAAAAGAATATATATGTATGACTGAATCACTATGCTGTACACCAGAAACTAGCATAAAATTGTAAATCAACTGTACTTCAATTAAAAAAAAAAAAAGATCAGGATGCTCCTGGAGAATGTCATTCTAAGTGAAGTAAGCCAGAAAGAGAAAGAAAAATACCATATGAGATCGCTCATATGTGGAATCTAAAAAACACACACACACACACACAAACAAAGCATAAATACAAAACAGAAATAGACTCATAGACATAGAATACAAATTTGTGGTTGCCAAGGGGGCGGAGAGTGGGAAGGGATAGACTGGGATTTCAAAATTGTAGAATAGATAAACAAGATTGTACTGTATAGCACAGGGAAA